CGTTCCGCAAGCAAGAATATTCACAGCATTTGTAAAATATACCTAAAACTTTCAAAATTCAGATAATTCACTCCAGTTTTCACGTGCATTCTCTCTGTTACGAAGCAAAAATTATCAGTGTTCAAGAAGGACACATACAGAATGAGATATGGACCCAGCAAGGTATTTTCTGTTTCAAACATTTCCTTTATCATTATTACACAATTCAACGTAAGAAAACCATTATCATTTGTTAAAGCGTCCTCTAGTGGCACGTATTAACTGCTTGTTCAAAGTCCTTCCAATTTAATCCAATTTACGAGCACATTTAAATCTTCATTTCTTTTTTCCACAAGTGTACATGCTTCCATCTGTCTTTAATACACACGGAATAAGTTGGAAAATGAAGATAACCCATTTTTGTCGTTATAGTAAAATCAACACTGACACACAATGATAATTTTTCAACAGTTTATTCTTAAACATCTGCTGTTGGTTGGTGAGAAGGATGTTACTTTCTAGCAAATGAATCTATCGCGTGCATGATAAACAAAAGTGTAAATTGAATGGGATTTAGTCAATTTCTTTTGTTTATAAACAGTTAATTAACGCCTGCTAGAGATACCTGTCCTCATTACCTTATTGTGCTCTAAATCTGAGGTGGTGTGTAGGCAATTAAGTCTCTAAATTTCAAACAAAAGTTACACATGTTAAACCATTATAAAACCATAGATCTCCTTCAATATGAATTTAAGAATATATGCCTTTAATCGATCACCAACGTGACAACTTCATAATTTATGAACCTGTTTTCAACTTATAAATATTCATGTTTCTCCATTCCATTTACAAAATATAAAAAAGTCGGAATTTATGGAAAAGTTTTGAAATTTCCGGTAAAATAATTTTTCGTATATATAAATCAAGGTTTAACGTTTAACTTAAATCTCATGTGTTTGTTTACAAATGATCATCTCACATCTGTTAACCATTTTCACCACTTATTCTAGATGACATATTTGACATGACTCATGAAAACATAATACAAACTATCAGTGAAGATAGAAGGCTTGAATTTTCAGTTTTTTTCTATTTTATAATGTTTTTATCCACTTCATAATTGACAGAACATTTTGTTTGGTTGCTGGATATAAATGCCGTACGTTCATAGCATATTCTTATAATTGAGATTTCTAAGTCTACTTTGACCACAGATGTATCAGTAGCACTTCCATTTAATGAATAATTGCATTCTTATTGTCACAAATTGCTAATTGTTCAGAACAATGATTTCATTTTTAAGTGGACTTGAATAAATTCATTTGAAACCGAATTTTACAGTATTTGGGTCTCATAGTTTATTATTACTTTATTCAATATTGTTATCTTTATTTTTCAATTTTATTCTTATTTGAAACCGGAAAGAAAACCTGATCGTAAGACAATGCATTGTCTTTCATTTTAAATCTAGAAGCTTCACCAACTATGTTTATTGGTGAAAAACTGTTACAGACATAAACGGGCTTCATGACTCCCTGATGGATCTCCGAGTGATTTAGGCGGCAAGTTTTCAAGTGGGTTGCGCTATATTTGATCCCCGGATCAGATAGATAAACTTAATTGTGAAGAGAGTTTCAGTTTAAAGAAAGGGTTGCACACAGCTGGTATAGTACTTTGATTGTGTATGTTTGTGTCCTCTTTTAGTTTATCTATGTATTTCGTATTCTATCTAGTTATTACCAGTATTACATATACAACAGTGGGGGATCTCATGCTTATTTCTATGCAGTTTCACTAGCTACCCCATCGGAAAGGGCTGATGTGCACACATTTTTCCCTACGAATTACCTGTGTAAACCTATATCACTATACTCTATCACTATATTGCTATTAATTTAAACTATAATTACCAGCACGTGCTGGATTTCTGCTCAGATTAACATATGTTTCGTTGAAAGGGGCTACTTGTATTTCTTTCGGTTTTCCTCCAATTAGAGCAAACTACATACATAAGTTTATGACTTAAGCGCAGAACTGTTGTTGAAGTCGAGGATGTAGGTTTCAAAATAAACGCCAAATATGACATAGTAAATGACATACACACGTACAACCTGGTTCTCTAATTCTCCTTCCACCTCTCTAAACTAATAACTTTGGGCAAACAGTATTTTTTATTTAAAAGTTTTCTGTGGTGGTGTTTTTACAAGCCATTAATACACTCTCATGATTTCTCACAACAATATCACCAAATTGATTTGCAGAATTTACTAATCGGTTCAGTAGTCTAAGGTTCGGATAATAATCAACATTTTTATGTGTAACTTGTAGCTGGTCTAAAATGTTTTTGAGAAAACACTGCTATGAACAATTTCATCACAACACCCCTTACGCTGTTGTGTGATCAACTGCAAGGCAGTAGCAGTGGGGAGGTCTTCCGCCGCACCTGCAACTCCCATGGTCGCTGCTACACGTGCGACCACAGCATTCGCACGAAGCACGCGCTACACTTTGCTCGGCTGTGTACACTTTGCCCTACTGTGTCTATATCAAAATAAAAAAATGAAAATATAATCGCGTTACTGAAAGTCCATGTGCATCACAAAATGCGATTAAAAACCTACGGTGATATATCTTTTAAAGCTGCAGGTCCAAAGGAATGGAATCCATTACCGCTCGAAATCCGAGCAATTCAGTCTACCAAACATTTTAAAAAGGACTCAAAACACTCAAAACATACTTTTTTTAGGAAATATTTTGATTAACTCTTAATCGGTTTTATAAATCTTGTATTAATTGCATTTAATTGTATGGAATAATGGTTGTTTTACCTAGATTTTATTTATGATATTATATATAGTATTATTTATGATATTTTAGGTAAAGTCTACTGAACATTTTAAATGGATTTTAGACTTAAAATAAATTTATTATTAATATCATTATTATAAAAAATTATTATTATTTATTTTGCGCGTAATTTCTCAATTCCCATGTTAATTGAAGAAAACAACACAGTGGACTTAAAATGTTGTGTTCTTTCTAATTTTGTGCCAGTAATGGGTGGCACCAGCTATGCCCTTCCTGAACTCCAAACACGCTTTCCTTGTCTAGATAAAATTCAATTTCTAACTGGTAAGTGTTTATCGTGACAAATTATTAAATTTAATTAAATTATGGGTTATTTTAGCATAATTTTGAGAGTGATCTACAAAGGACAGACACACCTCATAGAAGAGACTAATGGGCAGCTAGTGTAGAAAGACAAGGAACAAATTAGTCTTTTCTCTCCATTTAATTTAAAATTTAAAAAGCCCGACACGTGTTTCGGCCCGGAGGCCTCGTCAGGGACGCAAACAGAAACAAAATACCATTTATAATCAGAGTCTTTTTTTGTATTTTTTTGCATTTTGTTTTTGTATTTTGTTTCTGTTTGCGCCCCTGACGAGGCCTCCGGGCCGAAACATGTGTCGGGCTTTTTAAATTTTAAATTAAATGGAGAGAAAAGACTAATTTGTTCCTTGTCTTTCTACACTAGCTGCCCATGCATGGGTGGAGCACTTTTCCATAGTGTAGCAACTTTATTCTCCGTGATAGATATATATATATTTATTTTTTAAAGATATTTTCTTTTTTTTAAAAGATATTTTCTAATTTGACAGTGTCAAGATAAATTATAAAAATGCAAATTAAACTAAACAAATTGACTAATTTCCATTGAATTTGTCATTTTGTTTATCACATACGTGGTAAATTCATTTGCTAAAAGGTAACATCCTCCTCACCAATCGACAGCAGATGTTTAAGAATGAATCGTAGTGTGTAAGTGACGGTTTTATTTCAACGGCAAAAAGGCTCGGTTTAATTTTTGATATTATTCTGTGTGTATTAAAGAATAAAGGAAGCATGTACTTGTAGAAAAAAAAATAAGTGCAGAAATAAATGTGCTGGTAGATTGCATTAAACGGGAAGGACTTTGAACAAGCAGGTAATACTTGTCATTAGAAGACACTTTAACAAATGATTATTGTTTTATTGCGTTGAGTTACGTAATAATGATTAAGGAAATGTTTGAAACAGAAAATACCTTGCTGGGACCATATCTCATTCTGTATGTGTCCTTGTTGAAGATTGATAAAATTTTAATACATTTACGTATTGTATTTATGCAATCATTAGGGCCGGGAGTATTTTTTACCAGCCACAGAATAGTCCATATAATAAAGGAATGTCTTTTGCAGCGGTGTTTGGCGAGTGCAGAATACAGAATCAAGGGGAAGTTTTTCATCATTAAAACAAAAATTGTGAAACTTCTCAATTGCGATTTAAAGATAATACATTGCTGGACGGTCTGATTTTCTCAATAAAGTCCAGAGGTCAGTTTCCAATAATATAAGAAGAAAATATAGTGACATTTATAATTCAACAAATATAAGCCTCGAGTAAAATAAAATTAATATTAAAAAGTAGCAATAATTGAATTATTGTTTTTATTTATTCAGTTTAAGATAAATTCACAGCATTTTTTCAGATCTTGTACGAAAGATGTGAATACGACGGGTCTACTGCAAGTGCATCTTTTGCGTGCTTGTATCTTATGCATATCTTATGTATAGATATTAGAGGATAAGATTCCCCTTACAAAATAAACTTTTTTAGAATTTGAATTAAAATAATGCAACAATGAAAATTATATTACGTTTTGCCTATCATTTGTATTACGACAGGAAAAGGGTAATGTTTGCAAAATTGTTTAGGTTAGGAACTAAAAAAGGAGAAAAAGAAAACAAAATGAGAGAGCGCTTCTGCTTTTAGACGTCGCTTTGACAAATGATAATGGTTTTCTTACGTAACACCGTGTATAAATGATTAAGGAAGAGTTTGAAACAGAAAATACCTTGCTGGGACCATATTTCATGACATTATTATTCTGTGTTTTCTTGCTGAAGATTGATAGTGATTACCTTGCACAGAAACGTATAAATAGCGGCTTAGGTTGCAAGTCTCATCGTAGAGAACTGATCAAGTCTCCTGCTAGGACAACTTCCATTGGAACAATGAAGTCTTGCGCTCTTCTTTCGCTCTTAGAGCTCTTTACCACTGTGTCATAGAAGGTAAGAGACACAAAATATTCATAATGACTTGAAGCGTAAGTACTGACGCAAAGAAAAGAGATACGTCTGTACTCAAACCATAATTTAGTCAAACGTCATCTCAGCTAGTGCGAAATTTAATTAGAAATGTTACAATGTTAATTAGAAATGTTAGAGAACTGATGCAGTCTCCTGCTAGGGCAACGTCCAGTGGCCCTAGAACAGTGAAGTCTTGCGTTCTTCTTGTGCTCATAGTACTCTTTGCCACTGTTGTCATAGAAGGTGAGAGTCACAAAGTATTTATAATGACTTAAAGCGTAACGGACGCAAAGAAAAGAGATACGTCAGTACTGAGACCGTAATCTAGGCAGATATTATCTCCGCTAGGGGCAAATATAATTTTAATGTTACATTAGTATGTCGTAACTTGACAAAAAAAGGTCGTGATCGAAATCACACTCAATAAGATATACTAAAAATGTAAAGTAATTCAAAATTTGCAGATAGGCAGTTGTGAGTGCTTATACTTACAATGGTATTTCGCTTCCTTTTGAAACACACAGCGAAACTAATAATTGTGCCTTAAAGCCCGCTAGAAATGCTAAGCCAGTCAAGTCAGGTTTCGCCTGCTAGTGGTAACGTAAACCAGTACTACCTGTTCCATGGTTGGGTTGTCGGCGGCTAAAACGGCTCCCCCACCGGGCTTGCCCAGCGAGGAGGGTGCGTGAACACTCAGCAGGACTAAAAACAAAATCTGTCAGAGAGGGACTAGCTCCTTTAAGAGCCAACGGCCATTTACCCCAAACATAGGTTAAATAATCTGGAGAAGGAACATGGGTCACAAACTCCAGTATCAGGCCCAGCAAACAATGATGTCAAGTCATAGAAGAATAAAGAGAAACAGCATTAAAGATGCCTATTGTGTTGTTACAGGTGTCTCGCTCGGTAACGACACACCGTTGCTTTAGGGTCATGGCAATAGTCATCCAGTGACTGTAGCCAACACACATTACAACAGCCAAGGAAGTTAGATCATAACTGTCAACGATTGGCAAATTAGCGTGGTAGTGAAATTGAATCAAAGTTTTCACTTGCAGAGTTGACCACAAAACATTCCAACTACATGTAACGTTAATGCGTGTCGCGCCATACAGTGCTACTGTCCACGTTTTTTCTGTAGTAGAGAATGAGCAATGACAGCATGAATGAAATAATGCAAAATAGTTTATATTGCGTGTGTACCGACTTGGTCAAAAATGTTGTCCCACCCTAAGTCCTATGTGTTTGTTTACAAGTGATCATCTCACTTCTGTTAGCCATTTTCAACAGTGATTTTATTCTACATACCATATTTGACATTTCCCATGGCAAATAAATACAAACTACCGGTCTAGATAAGAGGTTTGAATTTCTTAGTTCTTTTCTATTTTTTAGTATTTCTTTATCCATTTACAATAGGACACATAGTGTCAGGAAATGTACGTATTTTTTTACTTGCCATTACGTTACGTCAATATTATCTACAGAAGTAAATATCTACTATTTCCAATAAGATGGTATATAAATTGGGTATTTAATCTTCATACCCATGTAATATTTTATTTGGAAAATTTTGATTTAACCGAGTTTATGTATGCCAAATTCGCACGTCGAGGTGACATTTTTCCTTGGCAACATTATAACTTTCATCACAACTTGTAAACTGGAAACTGTACGGGAAAATGTTTGTTTACATTTTCATCTATTTCTACTTTGATGAGTACTTGTGTTAAATATGGTCGGTAATTCCATTTCTATCTTGATATATGTTACTTTCTGTATAGGTTTTGGTCCCAACTCCATTTTACGATGTTTTGAGTGAGATTATTACAAAATCAATATCTAAAGATTAGGTCAAAATTTTCAGTGGCACACGAGCAAACTAAAAGTGGCTAGCATATATATTTATAAATGTTATTTGTGTAACATTTGACATTGATGAGATAAGTAGGATGTTTTCTTATTTTAACTGGCAGTTAGGTATCTTTAATGGATACATATTTCATAAACATTCTTTATTCAACATATACCACATTCTGAGACATGTTGATCAAATATCTGTCAAGTTATAATAGTAGGGAAAAATGATAAATCAACATTATTATAGAAATTAATCCACCTTTAAAACCAAGGCATAATTATGTTACAATCTCAATGATTTAAATGCACTATTTGGTTGTTTTATGTTAAAGAACTCCTCTAGACATTGAACTCTGTTAATCACATTACCATATTTTGCATGTTCTTTTACAAAATGTTGTTCATGAATCCTAGAGAGGGCATGATTAGTGTATATTAAACAGCAAAATACCCTTTTCCATTATTTTTTTCCATCCCTTTTCTGTCTTTCTGTTTGGATATTATAAGCCAACAATTAGGTGGTAAACCACCAGCTATTAGTTTTCAGCAATATTTTTGCACACTATTATTGAAGTATTATAGTGACTATCAAGTCTATGTTCCTTTAGTGGCTTTAGTCCTGTCCAAATAATCAGTACTAGTAAACATATCTTTTATATCTCTATCAATAAGGATGTGGAAACAATTACATAAACAGCAATCTCTGAAGGGTTGATTGATATCAACAAGATCAAATTATGTAGCACCCTTTTCATTTTCCCTTTTTATTTATGTGAAACTCTTCATTTTCACCTCAATGAAAAAAAAATCAATCCGAGGAAAGCAGAAAGCGTCACAAAGGTATTGCTTTTGACTAATAAGACTTCGAATTGGTGAGAGTATGTGAAAAAATAATCAGGAAAAGCCACTGCACAATGTGCTGACTCGTCCACAAACTCTTCGACACTGTTCAACAGCACGTACATATGTATGAGTATATTTCTTCGTTCCTTCAAGTGACATTTTTATCAATATTATTTTTTGACAAAGCATGATTTTTATTTATTTATTTATTTATTTATTTATTTATTTATTTATTTAATTTTTTTATTTATTCAATGATTGATTGAATTTTTTCTATTTAAATTTACGATTTTATCTTTCATGTTGAATAAGATGAGAAGTTTAAAAAGGGATATCCATGGTTAGAGGAGGTTGTTAAATGCACTATAATAATGGAGACACATTCGTCTTTTACGGCGATGATAAACCAGTCTGTTAGTCAGTTTATCAAATATAATGCAGAAGCTTGAATACTAATGAATGTGTGTGTGTGTGTGTGTGTGTGTGTGTGTGTGTCATAGGCTCAGTACTAATCTAGTCCATTTCCTAAATGGCCCAGACCACATCCTAATTAGGACCTGGCCCAGACCACGTCTTAATAGTGTATTTGCATTGTTAACAGCATAATGGGCAAGTTAATTGACCAAGTTAATTGGCCAAGCTACCAGTTTGTTTTTATGGCATGTGTACAGGATGTCTTAGATCAAGGCACATATTATGATCCTTACAGGTGTGGCAAATGAGATATAGCTGTATTTCATTAACTGAGATTTGAAAAATACATCTGAGGATGATACTTTGAAAGATGTTTAATGTTTAAAGAAAATAGTCTAGTGAGATTTTTGGAAAAAGGCTCTGCATAAGAGGCAAGGGGCATTTTGGGGTAAAAGTTGGGAACCAGGCTTATTAGCATAATTTTGGGATGCTGAATCCGATTTACCCGGTTCCCAAGCGAAATTTTGCGTTTTTAACGGTCTAATTTGCAAAAAAACAAAATGGCCGCCAGATTTCCTATTTTCTGCAATACCTCTGGAACTAGACAGGCAAATATGACAAATAAAGTTTCTTTACCTATATTTTCAGGGTCGAGGAACATTATTAAGATGTTTTTGTTAGAATTAGATTTACGCAATTTTCCTAAATATGCAAATTAGGATCGCCATTACTGAAAAACCGTTTTACTTCTGTATCTCTGTAACTAGGCAAGCAAACATGACAAATGAAGTGTCTACACCTATGTTCTCAGGGTCAGGGATTGTAATTAATCAGATTTCTTGTCTTATGGGTAGCACTAACTTTGTGAATCGTGTCCGAGTAGCTCCTTTTATTGTTTCTTCCCTGTATCTGTCAAACACAAGTCAATCTGCTGATAGTTAGAACCTGCCTTCAGAACTGCTCATTACGTACGTGTCAGCCAAACTACCAAAGGTCACTGCATTGTCAGGCTTTCCCAGTGAAATTGTCTGTGCTTGCCTATCAGTTATAAGGCAAGGTGAGCAGAGGCGGATCCAGGATTATTTGAAGGGGGAGTCCGCGGATGCTTAGTTGAATTTTGGTATTTAAGAGGGCGAACGGTGCCATTTGGTATGGTTTACAACTATGATTCAGCTAGTCAAAATTATAATTTCAAGGGGGGACCAGAATTCGAATGGGGGGGGGGGGGGGG